CAATATCAAATAAAATTATCGATATCTTTTTGATATTATCAATAACAGAATATCGATATTAAAATATCAAATATCAAAAGAATTATATCCATATTGTCGATATATCGATATCATATGCTCATCCCTAATACAGGATATAAGTGTGTGATGTTCTTTATTGTATATTATAATATTTATCAAACGTTTCGATCAGATTTTTTGATCTTCATCAGTGACATTCAAAAACAATTCAAAAACAGAAGTCATATCGCTCGTAGTTCGTAATGATGTTGATTTGGCACGTGGCTGGTTGTAAGCACAACGGTGATAGATCACTTATTTTTTGAATGTCACTGATGAAGATCAAAAAATTTTGATCGAAACGTTTTGATAAATATTAATATAAAATAAAGAACACACACTTACCATCCTGTACAAGACTCGTACTACCTTTTTTTTTGAATTACCAATTTTCGACGAGTTATATCAATAGAAACTTATACGTTTTTTTCGATCAAATTCGCGTCATCAGCCAATGCTTTTTTTAATCTATCTTCCAACATTGTGTTTTCCAATTGTTGCGCTTGCAAACGGTTTTCTATTTCCTCCGACGCGGAATGTACCTCCATGACCAGAGCGCTGGTGTCGTGGCAAAATTCCGCCAACGAATTAAATTCCTCGTCCAACGCGCTGTTATTCAAATCGTCTTCCGTTCTGTTGAGTCTGCTTCTTTTTCTCAACGGTTCGTTCGACATTGTGTCACTGTTGTCCAAATTTAATAGGCGCGACATGAATTCCGTCAACACGTTAGATTTGAACCACCACGGTAACGTACGGAAATGTTTCAGATGATTTCTGTTATAGATGACCACTTGATTTTCATCCAACAGACGCACTTTCTCCTTAACTATGTGCAATATTATGTGAATAAAATTGGATATTTGTAAACTGCCCGAGGTCAAAAATATGTTACTTAATATATCGCTGAATATAGTTATGCAGTTTGAATCGGGTAGTATTTTTCTGAGATAATTTACAACATGACGTTGTAGGTCTTGCATATCTGTCAATGGCCATGGTGCGCTAAAAAATAAGAAAAGCGATATAAATATTAAAATATGAGAAACATCCGGTCCGATATAAAGTGTACAAATATAATTAAAAAAAAAAAAAATAAAAAAAAATAAAAAACAAAAAAAAACAAAAAAAAAAAAATAAAATTAAAAAAATTAAAAAAATGCGTGTAAAAATTTACACGCGAACAAATATATATATATATAT